AAGCCGTGGTTGTCGAACCGTCTGATTCTGTGGGTTTTATCTACGGCATTGTTGTGGGCCCGTGTCTTTTTGCGGAGCTTGTGGCCAAGGAAAAGCTTTGGATACCGACTAAACAATGGGTATGTAGAGGTTCTGGCAGGTAAACTAGGGGCCCAATGGCCCATATGACTTTCTCTAGATCATCACCAAGACTGACCGCTCAACTCCCTCCAAAGTGTCCGCTTTGTTCGGTTGGAATATTTTTGACAAACATGGGGGTTCCATAGCAAATATATCCCCTTTTGTAGTCAGGGGAATCCTGCCTCGACGTTTGACATATGCCGTTGCCTCTGGGGAACTGGACCTACTCAGCATGGTCAATCTGTTGAGCTTCAGCCGTCTCAGACTATCAATTCCATATCCATTGTGATGATCTAGGCGATCGCAGTTGGAAAACAGACAGTTGAAGTTGGGCCGGTTCTGTGCTCTCAGTGAAATACTCTTGATGAGTTTGGTCAGTTGGGCCAAGTTCCAACCATCGGAAAACAACACGGGGGGGGAGGATCTGTCCGTGGGGCACATCTTTTGAGGCTGGTACCACCTTGAATTCACGGGTCGAACGCTGGCAACCAGGGGCGGTGGGGAGGCTTTCCATAGGCCACGGGGTCAAAAATGGGAGAGGAGGTTTACAGGTTGGGACGCGAAACAGAGCCACATTTGGCGAGTCCTTGCAGCTACCAATTCCACTAGGCCCTTAGGCTCGGAAAGGGTGAGAGACTTTTTGGCCAACGATCACGAGATTGTACAGACATGGGAGCCTCTCCTCACGGGGCCTTCCCATAAAAACCTACCCTCTCACCTCGAGGCGACACATGGAACATCCAAACGATCCCGAGGCCTGGTACACCATTGCCTCATAGTAGGCCGCATTGGGGTTGCACCTTAGCGTCGGTGTTGAAAGTCAATCGCCACCCAAGTGGCGAGAAACGAGCGGTGAAATATGCGGGTGTGCCGCTTTTTTGGGTTCGGACCACCAAGAATGGTGGTGTTCCTTGTGGTTTCCCTTTGAAACCAACCAAAAAGCGTCCCAGAAAACCGCACACCTGTATCCCTTGCCCCCAAGGAATGGGGAGCAAATCCGAGCAGGAGCTCGGCTGGGCGAGAATGAGGTTTTGTGCGAAGGCCCTGGACCTGCACCAAATACGCAGCTTAGATGGCAAGGCATCAGCGAAAAACCTTCCACACGAACCAACTAAGAAAGGTCGCACGATGTCGCACGCAACAAACACGCAGCCTCCACGCATCACCCAACAAAACTTCTTTCAAGCAAGTTGCACATCCAAGGAGGGGGATATAGGTGTCCAAACGGTACGAGTACCTGTTTGGAATGGCGTTGAAGAAAGGCCAAATATGCACATCAACAAATTGTCGGGGTACCCCAGTGTTGGAAGTACTAGTTTTACGGTCAGCCCCTGAGGTTTGCCTGCGCCCCGAACCAAAGCCCCGACACAAAAACCCTAAACCTAAACCCTAAAAACCATAAATCTAAACCCTAAAAATCCTAAACCTCAACCCTAAAACCCTAAGCCTAACCCTAAACCCAAGCCCTAAAAACCCTAACCCTAAACCTAAACCCTAAAACCCTAAACCGAAACCCTAAAAAGACCCAAACCTGCTTGCAGAAACCTAAGCCCTAAAAACCCTACACCTAAACCCTCCACCCTAAACCTAACCCCTAAAAACCCGCAGACCTGCCTGCTACCCACGCCTCGTGGTACCACGGCCCCACGTTCTGAAGAGAACGCAGGTCACCACGTGTCAGGTATGGCTGCAGGAGTTGTGCTACTTGAGTAGTAAAGGGTGCCATACTTGAACCACGTGCTGGACAAGGGTGGATTAGGGGGTGCCGGCAAACCACGGGGGCTGTGGGTAGTTTTAGCAGCGTACAACACCCAGTTTGGTTCTACCAACATGGCTGAAGAGGTTGCTTGTAGGGCTGGACAAAACCAGCACCTGTCAGATGGATGCACCGCTATGCATGCGGCAAATTTCACCAACCCCAACTGGGCACCGATCGTCTCTCGAGGATCTTGTAACCATTCACAAACCTTACCTCGGGCTCCTCTCAACTGGTGGTTTGTATTGGTGGAATTTGAAGCCTGGTTCTTGCTGAGCCCGAACTTCCAACCCACGCTCCAACCCACCGGAAGCCAATCCCCCCACGAACCTGCTGGGTGTCGGGGGGTTCCGAGTTCCGAAGCCCCGGGCCAGATCAAGGTAGGGCTCTCCTGGCCGGGCGACGGATTTCGGCCACCGGGTTTGATTTGATGAGGCTGTCTCCCAGATGTGCCTCATGTGATGTCCATTTCACTGGTACCTCTCAGAAGCTGATTGGTGTCTCTTCCCACGCCAGAAAAAACAGCAGCTTTTTCCAGGGCAATCTTTAGAAAGCTCGGGCATAACTTCTCCATTCAAACGCTCAACTTTCTTGAGATCCGAACCGAACCCTCATGGACCATGGAAGGTCTCTGGAGCCCATCGACTCAGTAAGATCCTTTCAACAACTCAACAGCCAGGGAAATTATCGACAAGACCCATTGAAGGGTGGACCTCATTAGACGGATGCCATGTTGAGGGCCCGTAGGATGCTTAGGATCTTCAAGAAAAACCGGCTGGATTGCCTTTCGGGCGGATCTGGGTTCCGCAAGCGCTGCCTCCATCAGGGGCATCTGCTCCTTGACCGACACCTGGTCGAAGGAGGTCCCGGCTACCCCCCCCCCCCAGGCCCTTGAGGTCGGAAGCCTTTCAGTCATGGGGTACTGAAACTTCACACATTTGGAGGTGGATTGGAAAACCCAAGCTCTCATACCTTTCAGAAACCATTGCCCCCCCTTCAAGTGAATAATAGTCATTGGGAAGGCAATCTTCCAAGAATCCTCACTGGGTACCCTGCCCTTTGCGCCGCCTTTTGCTCTCCTGCCTCCTTCTCAGGTAGTCGATTCCCCCGCTGGCAGGGGATGAACATGGCCTGATTCGATCCAATGGCAGAGGTCCTCCGCAAAGATCGGAGCCGAATTGCGTACGGAAGGACTGAGTTTAAGACACCCACGGGTCAAGGCTTCACCGATGAAATCCCGAGTCGCTTCACCCCAATCCGAAATTTCATGGGTCAGGAAACGGAGCTTAAAAGGATTCATCTTGCCCACAGAACAACGAAAGCTTGGGATCCACAATTTCACTTTCTGTCCCATGTTGTTGGCTGCTCCCCTGACTATGGACACGAATCAACTGGAAAGCTTAGACTGGCTACACTTTTGCGTTGAGTCCTCACCCGCTCGCTCAAATGCAGGACTCGGACTATGCACAAAACGGGTCTAGAGAAGGAGCACCTTGTGTTGACAGAGCACACGTCTCACGCTTCCTTCCCTCAAACTGTGCCTTGCCAGCTGTGCCTTGCCAGCTGTGCTTTGCCAGCTGTGCTTTGCCAGGGTGGGTTCCAAATGGACCCTCCAAAGTCCCTCAACCTGTCCTTTGGGTCCAACTGGACCCCTCAAAAAGGGATGTCCATCCCATGAGCGCCCGCGCATCCAGCTTGTGACCCCCACGTGTGGGAACCTCGGGTCGCATCTGCGGTCAGCTAGGGTGGCGCGTCAGTCTGGGAAAGGTAGCATGCCCATGCGGGGATCAATACTCCGGGCGTTGCTTGCTGACACTAAGGGAAATGCGCTCTCGACTTCCAGCCTGGTGTATTCCTGGATGAGTCGAAGTAAATTCACCAGCCCCAAAAGTAACAACGTCATCACGGGTGAGGTTGCAGTATCACCCAAAGAACGCCTCTGCGACGCTTGCACGCGCAAACCAGATAAGGGAAGTCCAATTTCCAAGAGTTGTGCTGGCCTGAAAGAAAGCCATATTTCCGTGCCTGTTTTTTTCAAGGTTTATTTTTTGGGGGTTGGTTTACAGGGAAACCAAAAGAACAACCACAATTCTGGGGGGGGTCCGTCCCCCTTAAAGACGCACCCGCTTATCTGCAAATGATTGCTTCATCATTCCAACATCCTGAGATCAGAATCGGATCCCCGGGTAAAGAACCATTCCCTCACAACCCTTCGCTTGTTTCGCCCTCGGATCGGTGGAACTCCAGGGGCCGCGCCCAGAACTGTTGGCCCCCGAAGTTGATCTGCAACTCAGCCTCGGAATGGCACAAAAAATGTGGTCCTGTCGGGCTGGTCCCCAAACTGTGGCTTCCAGGTGTCAACCCGAAATCTGAGAGGGTGCCCAACCTGTTCCCCCTTGAAACCTCGCGATTTCCGGTTGCTTTTGCACTTTTCTGCGCCGGTCGTCGTATGTCTTATCCACTTTGGGCATTGTCCGGAATCTTTCAAATGCCGACACGGTCACATATGTCTTTCAGTTTCACACGAAAGTGTCAAACTGAAGACAAACGATGTGCTCGTTTGTGGGCCCGCGTGTATTTCAATGAAGGCCGGCATTGCCATGTCCTACACATATGTTTATGTTTATGGACAGGCCATGGGGTTCCTCCTCTTTTGGGGTTACATTACGAATGGAACCTCTCAATCGGTCCCCTAAGACTGGTCTTCCAGGGACCTTCCGTCAGGTTCTATAGGATGGGAGGGTACATAACCAAAAAGGGCCAAAAGGATGATGTTGAATCTGGCAAAAACGGAAAGACTAGGGACCCTAAGCCATGCAGTGTCTTACTTCTCCGCATGTTGGGAGGTTCCAGAACCAGCCCAAGGTTGCTTGAGCTCTAGGCCTTACTACCAGAAGAGCATGCAGTAGACCTACTCAAATAGCTTCTGGAATTGACATAAGGTCCTCGAGAGGAGACCTCTAGTTCGGCCATCCAAGCTGCACGGGGTATTCTGGCGCCTCACGGAGCTCGCGCCAACTTTGGGCGCCGAAACCTTCGCGTTTTGCGAGCCGACTGCACCCCGCATCAGGCCGCGCATCAGGCCCGGTGGGATTTATGCCACCCTCCGGGCCGCGAACGCGCGTCAGCCTGGTACAGAGACACCCTCAAGCAGTTCAATAGGCAAGAAGAGGTGGGGGCTCCTCAGATTGGGGGCCCGCCACGGTGCTTGAGGGAAACCAACTGTGAACCCTTTCATAGGGGCGCCTTTTCAATTTCCGAACACACTTTCAAAGCGATCAGCGTGTTCACCCCAACGTGAGAGCTCTTCAGCGAAGAAAAGCCAATGATGATGCAGCCTGAAAGGTGCTAGGTTTGAGCAATAGTTGGGAAATGATGGGCCGCTTCCATGTGCTTAAAGATGCCACTTAAAAAATGTGTTATAAAATATACAAAAACACAATATTTGAGACATAAATGAACTATTAAACAGGATATTGAGTTGTTATATGCATTATAAAATATACAAAAACACAATATGTGAGTCATAAATGAAATATTAAACATGATATTGAGTTGTTATATGTGCAAAGGTTGAAATAATTGATTTGGTTTGAATATATTTTATTGAGATCTGCCTCAACAAATTCAAATACTAATATCCTATATATATATATATATGTTAACAAACATGTATGTGTATATATATAATTATAATATTATATCAAATAAACATATATTTTATAATATTACTAAACAGTGCTTTAAAATTATTTGGATCGAATGGAGGTAATATACCATATAATTTAACAATACTTGGATGACCTCTTAATGTATGAAGTATTCTGAATTCACGTAATAATATTGTTGCATCAGTATCAGTAACAAATACTCTTTTTACCTGTTTTAATGCCACCATGGTTCCTTCTGTTATTCCAAGTTTGTCATGTTTTGTAATACATTTTGCACTATCAACAACACCACAAGTTTACCAATTGGGAAGAAACCAACAGACCCCTCCCTCAGGTCAGATTCGCCAGAACCCAATTGAAAGGGATTTTGGTCAAGCGGTTCCGTTTGCACCTTTCTGGGGGTTAGGGAGGCTCTAGTAATCGGTTCCCTTAGAAACCTGCAAACATCGACAACACGTGCCGATCATGATGTGCACATCAAAGTCGCCTTTGCGACCCGGCAAGCTTGTACGTTGGATTTCCAAAACATAGCGACCACGTCAAATTGCCGTGGATTGTAGCCGCCGCTGCTTCAACTGCCAAGAAACCGCTGACAAAATCCCCAGCCGTAAGTTTCACCTAAACCAAATCGACAACACAGCCGAGAATGCGCCTGTGACAGCCCATACAACTCCAAGTTACTTGGCCAGTGGTTTGCCATCATCAAAAACACGTCCTTTCTGTTGGTAGCTTATGCTCAAGGGAAATCCACCGAAAGCTAAAGAAGCCAGAATTGGATACACAAATCAGCTAGCTAAATCCCCCCAGACTCATTGGTCCAAAATATGCCGTTCTTTGCCTTCCCTTCCAGGCACGTGAGGTGTAAACATTGACACATTTGCAGCTCCCAAGCAGAAGCTTCCGATTTCATGTGGCCTGTCCTAAAGGAAGGCCAGTGCGCCACACCTGCCTGTCAGATTTGGATCATTCATCTTTGGGACTGAATCTGCCAGGCATTTGTGGGGTTGAAGTGCCTGTCAGCTCCGGGAATGCTCCTGAGCAAGTCAACTCCCCACTTTGCCTGCCGACCCTTGTGAGTGTGTCTGTGCTATCAGTCTGCGTGGGTATGCACGTTTCTGCGTTGAGGGCCTTCTGGGGTCGTCCGTGCGGTTCACTGAAAGTGAGGTTTATCCTTGTCTTCTTTGAGGAAACCTCGGTGTCCGGTTAAAACCACCGACCAAAAGAAGCTACCAACTCCGAAACAAACCCCAAAAGACCCAAGGCGCACATCCCAAGGGTACTCAGGAACCCAGAAGACAACTGCGCAGCATCGATTTTGGGCTCTGCCAAGACAGTAAGACACTTTTTATGCGCTTTAACCACTCTACTCGTTTGCTTTGCCAGGTAGAACCACCTACTAAAATGGATTTCTTTGGGTTTGGCCCCTCAACTCCATGTCCGAGCTGCGGTCTTTGGCGTCTTTGGCCATGGTCACCACCGCATCCTTCAGCCCCGGGTTCTGAGGGCCTCGGAGCCGGTCAGGTCTCCGGGTCGGGCGGTTTGGCCGGGGGTTACCGGGGGGGGGACCTTTTTTTGGGGGGGGAACCCGTTTCGGAGTTGCCAGGATTTGGACATAAAAGGTGAACCTTGGCAACATTTGCTGGTTTTCAGCAGGAAATGAGGGAATGACCCCTGTAATCCATCTATGGTTTCCTTTAATGGAATCCCGATGTTATTATTCCCAGCACCCTGGGTCATTTTTCCCCGAAAACATGGCGAAGGGTTCTTCCGCTGGGTTCACTGGAGTTGTTCTCATGAGAGTCATTACAAGGTGTCATTGCAAGGAATCATCATCATGAAAGTCATTGCAAGGAGTCATTGCAAGGAGTCATTGCAAGGAGTCATTGCAAGGAGTCATTGCAAGGAGTCATTGCAAGGAGTCATGCGAGTCATTGCGAGTTGCAAGGAGCCAAGTGCATGGAGTCAAGTGCAAGTTGCAAGTGCAAGGAGTTAAGTGCAAGTTGCAAGTGCAAGGAGTCAAGTGCAATTGACTTGCGAGGAGTTAAAATCTCTTCTTAGGGCGGGGGGGTAGTGCCGACGACACTCTAAGAAAATCGACCCTCTGCGGGGATTGGCGTGGTCGAGGTGCAAAAACTTGAGGTGTTTGGCGATTTTGTTTGGGCCCGCGCGACCCTCTGCGGGGATCGGCGTGGTCGAGGTGCAAAAACTCGAGGTTTTTTGCGATTTTGTTTTGGCTCGCGCGACCTCTGCAGACGGCGTGGTCGAGGTGCAAAAACCCGAGGTTTTTTTTACGATTTCTGCAGCGCTCGCGCGACTCTCTGCGGATCGGCGTGGTCGTTTTTTGTTGCTCGAACTGGTCCTCGGGAGTTGTCGCGTGGTTCGCGCGCCTGCTCCCGGGACCGGCGGGTCGCGCGTTCGATTCCTCCCTGGTCCGCGGGCGGGCTTCGCAAGCTGCACGGAGCAACTTGCATAGAGCAACTTGCGCAGAGCAACTTGCGCAGAGCAAGTTGCACAGACCATTTTGCGCAGAGCAACTTGCGCAGAGCAACTTGCACAGCCCAGTTTGCGCAGAGCGCCTTGCCCAGAGCAACTTGCGCAGAGCAACTTACGCAGAGCAACTTGCACAGAGCAACTTGCACAGAGCAGCTTGCACAGAGCAACTTGCGCAGAGCAACTTGCACAGAACAACTTGCACAGAGCAACTTGTACATAGACATTTGCACAGAGTCAGTTGCACAGAGCTTCTTGCACAGAGCAACTTGCACAAAGCAACTTGCGCAGAGCAACTTGCACAGAGCAACTTGCACAGAGCAGCTTGCACAGAGCAATTTGCGCAGAGCAACTTTGACAGAGCAACTTGCGCAGAGCAACTTGCGCAGAGCAACTTGCACAGAACAACTTGCACAGAGCAACTTGTACAGAGACATTTGCACAGAGTCAGTTGCACAGAGCTTCTTGCACAGAGCTTCTTGCACAAAGCAACTTGCGCAGAGCAACTTGCGCCGCGCAACTTGCACGGAGCAACTTGCACAGAGCAACTTGCACAGAGCAACTTGCGCAGAGCAACTTGCGCAGAGCAACTTGCACAGACCAGTTTGCGCAAAGCACCTTGCCCAGAGCAACTTGCGCAGAATGGTCACGGGGCTGTGATG